ATTTTGATGTTAACAGGACATCTGACAAAATCTCTCACCCAGTCTTTGTGGACAGGTTGCAGAAATGTAAGCTGAGTGAGAGGAGTTGGTGGCACCCCAAATTAGACAATCAGAAGCGGCCCCAAAATGTTGACAAAATAAGTGGATCTGTGCAACCTGGACTGAGGGCTTCACTCAAGCACCTGTCCCAGTAAATTTTTTATTGGTAACTCTGATAAAGTCACGACAGTCAAGATCAACATATCTGTAGTTGTTAAAGCTGAGAGTGATACTTAATACTTTAGACAGGAGAAGTCATCTTGAAAAAAGATCCTGAACAATGGATGAAAATTTAATAGAGATGAGTGTAGACCTTGTCTTCCTTAAAAAAAATTAGCAACCCAAGTGTGGGATGGAGGAGACAGTCTGTGGACCGCAGGTTGTTTCACTGGTGCAAGTTCAGTGCAAACCAAGAGGAGATGCAGCTCAGGGAGGAGACAGACTCAGCTGCTGTAGGGTCGTGTGATCTGCAGGGGTTGGTGGGGAGGGTGTTGTTCAGCCTGGGGAAGGGGATTCCAGTAGGGGCAAGGGGTGGAACTGTTTTCATGAAAAGGAAGTTGGTTACATAGAAGAGGGAATAGCCCATGGCTGCAGAGGGGAGAATTATTAATAGGAACCATGGACGATAGTAACCCATTGCTGTTGTTCAGGCTCTCAACTCTTTGCAACCCTGAACTACAGCACGCCAGTCTTCCCTGTCCTTCACTATCTCCTAGAGTTTGCTCAAACTCATGTCCATTGAGTTGGTGAAGTCATCCAACCATCTCGTCCTCTGTCGTCCCCTTTTCTTCCTGCTCTCAGTCTTTCCCAGCATCAGGGTCTTTTCCAGATCTGGATTCCATGCAAGACAGAACTTTCTAGCAATTTGACCTGCTCAATAGTGAGTGAGGCTGTTTCGGCCATGGAAGTGGATAATTTACTAGTTATTAAAGATATTTTGGGGAGCAGTGTGTATGGGTGGGAATTTAGATACAGTGACCATCATGAGGGTAAAGGGCTTCCCTCGTCACTTAGTCCGTAAAGAATCTGCCTGCAGTGAAGGAGACCCAGGTTCGATCCCTGGGTTGGGAAGATCACCCGGAGAAAGAAATGGCAACTCACTCCAGTATTCTTGCTTGGAAAATCTCATGGACAGAGGAGCCTGGTGGGCTGCAGTCCATGGGGTCACAAAGAAAGGGCACAATTGAGTGACTAACACTTTTTTTTCATTCCCACAGCCACCCTGAGACATAAATAGTATCTCCATTTTACAGATGAGGAAACTGAGATGCTTAAAGATTAAGTGACTTGTCCAAGGTCACCCATCAGATAATCGGCAAAAATCAAGACTCAGACTTTTATTGGAATGCTTATTCTCTCTCCTCTTCCAATCCTACAGTTTTAAGGTGGGAATGATCTCTGGTCCAAGATGGATCTCTGGGCAGTTTTGTCTTCGAGACTCCTTCTGCTCATGTAGAAAGCAGTCATATTGATCTCCTCTCTCTCCTTATCCTTCGGAAGGGTTGACAGCATAACTGAGGTAATGGACTAAGTCAGTTAAGCCTCCTTCTACCCCGCCAAAGAGCTCTACACAAATACAGTATGCTGCTAAATTAGTCTCATATTTTAAATAGATACAAAATATGGTACATGGTACACAATTCAAATTATAGCAAAAGGTGAGCAGGAAAGGGCTTAACTCTTCTCTTATATCTCCTTCCCAGCTACCTACACAATTTCCTTCCTAGGAGACAAAAAACGCTAACAGTTCTTTCTCTATCCTTCTAGAGTAGTCTTTTCTATACATATACAAGCAAGAACTTGTGTATATACATTTTTCTCAAATGGTGGCATGCTTTACACACGGTTCCACAATGTATTGATACACTTATTAAGATATTAGTTTGATCTATGTGAAATTACTGATATTCTACCATTTTGATCTATAAAGTTTATTGGAAATCTTTCATTATAAGTCCATAAGGAACTGCTTCAATCTTTTTCTTTTTAAAAATAAAGTGCAACATACATAAGACTTCACAAATCTTTTTTTTCTTTTCTTTTTTTAATATTGACGAACTTTACAAATCAAAGACTTCACAAATCTTAAGTGTACCCACTCCTGTGGAGCCAGCATCTAGACAACTAATTAGAATATTACCAGCATCCATTAGTTCCCTTGTGCCCCCTCCCAGTTTTTACCTCATTTTGAATTCCATGTTAAAGTTGTCATCCAGTATGTACTCTTATATGTCCACTTTTTTCTATTGGTTGCACATCACTTTATTTAACCCTATTAATACTGAATTGATTGATGATATGTCTCTTTATACTGTTTTTGCTATTCCAAGCAATGAGAGCAATGAATAACCTTGTAAATATATTTTAAAAATACTTTCCTATGGGAAATGTCCAACATATATCAAGTAAATAGAATAGTATAATGGACACTCAGCTTCAACAACTATCAACATTTTGCCTTTCTTGTCAAATGTATTTTCATGAGGAGGACTCCATTTACTAACAACAACAAAAAAATGCCCTTTAAAAAGGCTAAAAATGCAGTCTTTGGACTTTCAGTGGTATCAATAGCTGTGTTATCATGGGGAAGTAAACTAACCTCTCTTAACCCCCTGCAATACAGTGGCGATAATAGATCCTATGCACAGACTTATAAAGAGAAAAAAGGACCTCATCAGTGCTTTCTCAGCTGGAGGTAGAGCTGTGTTGAGGGGCCCAAGGGAAGATGCAGGTGGGGAAGGAAGGGTTTGGACTACTACCAATCCGTTTTCATCTTTTAAAGAATAGAGACTGAGACTTCCCTGGTGGTCCAGTGGTTGAGACTCCGTGCTACCAATGTAGGGGATTCAAATTCTATCCCTGATTGGGGAACTAAGATCCCACACGCCATGTGGTGCGGCCAAAAGAAAGAAAAGAAAAGAATAGGGTCTTTAGTAAAATTTCATTTGATGAAAAAGGATCTAATGCTTAAAAAGGAATTCCCAGGTGGCATAGTTGGTAAAGAACCTGCCTGCCACTGCAGGAGACGTAAGACATGCGGTTCGATTCCTGGGTCACGAAGATCTCCTGGAGGAGGAAATGGCAACCCACTCCAGTATTCTTGCCTGGGAAATCTCATGGACAGAGGAGCCTAGCAGGCTACGGTCCACGGAGTTCAGAAAGAATCGGACACGACTGCGGGCACGCATACACAGAAAATGCTTAAAAAACAAAGGAAAAGAAAGAAAAAGAAGTGGTGTGAAACCACCAATGTAACGAATGTAAAGGACTCAGAGTAGTGCTTTTAGTATTACTATTAGCCATCATTCTGCTTTACCCTTTCTCTTCAAATCACCTGGTTACTTGTTAAAATCACTTTCAAGCCAAGGGACACCTTTTTTCAATTAAAAATGTTTTCCCAGATTTATTGAAATGTAATTGGCATATAATACTGTGTACCTTTAAGGTGTACAGATCATTGATTTGGTACAGGGTCAAAGTTTGATTCAAGCAAGAACATGGCCCTGAGAATCCCAGGATGAGGCCGGCCGGAGCTGTCCTCTGCGAGGTCTGCATTGCACAAGCTAGCGTCTGGAGTTGGTGTCAGCCAGTTTCCCTACTCCTCCTATCTCCCACTCCCTCAGGCTCCCCACCCCTTCTTCTGGAAAACCGTTGATTCTTGCGCCGCTTACCCCAAGCCTCTGCTTCGTTGGGTCTGGTTTCCCAATAAATCAAAAGACTCTAGTCCCCGTCGCTGTCTGTCACGAGTTCGAGTTCGTCCTCTCCCAGGGTGGGAGTCACTTTCCCGGGTGTCCCAAGTGCTGATGCTCCGGATCCCCGCCCCCGCCTCGGCCCACGACCGCCCAGCCCCGGGGACCTCCTCCCCGGGTGGGAAGTAAAGGGTCAACGGGCCCTCCCAGCCACCCGCCTCCCGCCCCCCCTGCACCCCACCCTCCTGCACTTGCCCGCCAATCGCCTCCATAGAGATGCTGGAGCCCGAGCGAGGGCGACTGCTGCGCCGGGAAAGGGCTCTCCTCCCAGCGCTGAGCACTTGGTCCTGGCAGACGCCCCAAGATTGTTGTGAGGAGTCTAGCCAGTTGGTGAGCGCTGTAATCTGAACCAGCTGTGTCCAGACTGAGGCCCCATTTGCATTGTTTAACATACTTAGAAAATGAAGTGTTCATTTTTAACATTCCTCCTCCAATTGGTTTAATGCTGAATTACTGAAGAGGGCTAAGCAAAACCAGGTGCTTTCTCTGTAGGCTCTCCAGTGGCTCGGAGGACCCAGGCTCTCCCCTTCTTCCTCTCCACGCCTCGGCTCGGCCCCCCTGGAATAAAAGTCTCGGAGAGCCCCACAGGCCCAGAGGAGGCCGAAGTTCAGGAACTGCTCCTCCGGGGGTCCCGCGGGCGCTGAGAGCTCTTCCTCTTTTTTCCCCCACCAGCTGCTTCTCCTGCCCACGCATCTTGGACATGCCAGGATTCAAAAGGTACGTTCTCTGCTCCGGACTTTTTTTTTTTTTCCCCCTCCAGGGTCTGGAAACCTTACTCAAAACCCGATGGGTGGAAAATGGCTATGGCCGTGATTCAGGCTGTGTCAGGATATTGGAAAAGGCATTAGCTAGTGATGCAATGATATTGTTAATTATAAAAAGCTGCGCCTCTGTAATTTCCATCTTGAAGTCTTCTTTTGGGAGTGGGTATTTTATAAGACAGTTTCAGAAGCCAGCATCCGACAGGACGGCAAAAATCTCAGAGCTTGGTTTTCCCCTTGCTTTTCCGAAAGGGCCGCAGATTTGTGTGCCGCATTTTTCTTTTCTTTTTTTAATTTAAAGAAAGAACACATTTTTTTTTCTTAATTTGAGAGATCCGTTACTAGTTCGCTAGCAATTATTTTGCTGCATCGGCTGTTGGACCAGCGAACAAGCTAGCTGCACCTCCCAGGGCTGGATTTGCTCTATGTCTGTGTGGGATTCACAAAGGGCATGCGACCCAGAAGTCTCGAGCCAATGAAAACTGGGGACTGCAGACAGAAACGCATGTAAGCAAACATTTTGATATTCTTTAAGGAAATTGCAGTTCCAGTCAAGTGATCCTTCAACCTTGAAGAACTTTATCTAGATTACATCTGCAGTTTTTATCCAGAGAACTCTTGAGAACATAACTGCTTAGACAGATTTTGTGTGTGTGTGTGTGCTGAAAATGGAGCTGTAATCCTGTCATCCTGGATCGGAGACCAGAACTGCTCTGACAGACAGCCCTGAGATTTGAGATTCGGTTGGTCCCTCTTGTTTTTCCTCCCAGTTGAGGATGGAACACAAAATAGGTGGGCCCACCTGTTTTTGAAAGTCCCAAGGACCAGTTATGAGCATCAGAGGATCCCCAGGGTTCCTGTAGTTAATTTATCTTGGAGTTTTCTGGAGTTTTTCATGACAAATGTGACTGTTTGTGACACTGTCAGAGCAGGGATGCTTGGATGTTATTTCATTTTTGGAAAACTGTCTCAATTAGCCTGGAGCTTACTTGGCCCCCAGGCCCCAGCTGGGGCTCTTCCAGTCAGGGGTAGGGGGAGACATGGGGTTAGCATGCCTTTCCCACTAGGTCTTGAGGTCCACTATGTTCAGTCAGCCTGTTCTGTCTCCAACAAAAACGAGACAGGGTTTTATAACCAACTGAAAGGAAACTTCATGTGAAGAAACAGGAAAACATTGAAATTCATAATATACAGCCTGGAAAATAAATTTGTTATTGTTCTTTCATTCCTTCCAGATATAAATCTGGCCTTTGCAAATATCAAAAAGCCCTGGGATTTGGCTCTGCACTTTATAAGGTCAGAGCTGTCTCTGGCGTTCTAGAACCTGTCTCGTGCAGGCGCTCAGATGAAACGAAAACTTGTGGACTCTTAACGGTCGTTATTCTTTGGATCGAGGACTAGATGAAGGGAGTGGGCTTGCCTTTCCTAGCACCACATCAGGGTCCTGTTTCCTCTGAACCGCACCTTAATTCTGGGGCTCTCCAAGTAGCCCAGCGTTGCTGGTTCCTATGAGCCTTGTGTCATGGATTGAGTAAGCTTTGTAGTCTTTTGAACTCTCTTTTTCGAAAGGGAGCGATTGTAAAGTGAAGGTGTACATTGATAGTAACAGGTCACTAAATTCAAGCAGGTCCCAGGTCCACTGCTTTACTGAAGAAGCCTTTGAGGTCACCTTCTCCAGGAAGTCCTCCCTGATCTTCTCTACCCCCAGCCTGGCTCTCCTGGTGCTCATTGGGTATTTCTATCCATGCCTTAACCTAAGTGTCTAGACATTATTGGTTCAGGTGGCCCCTCAACCTGCTCTCCAGAGCAGCGTCTGTGTCATAGTTTTGTAGTTTTTCTGCCTGCAAGTAGTAGTTGCTCAGATAAACCCTCTATTGAACTCAATAATAATAGCACCAAAAAAAAAGCACCAAATAAAACTCTGTATTTGCATAGATTATTTTTAAAACCATTTAAATGATTTTTAAGTGTCCAGTTCAATAGTGTTAAGTACATTCAAGTACATTCTCCAGAACTCTTTCCATCTCGCAAAACTGAAATTCTATACCCACAAACAACAACTCCCTAATCCCTCCTCCCTCCAGCCCCTGACGCCCACCATTCTGCTTCCTGTCTATGATTTTGATTGCTCTTGGTCCCTCATATAAATGGAATCAAACAGTATTTGTCTTTCTGTGATTGGCTTGTTTCACCTAGCAGAAGATCCTTGAGATTCATCCATATTGTAGCATTTGTCAGAATTTCTTTCCTTTTTAAGGCTGATAATATTCCTTTTATGTATGCAACACATTGTTTATTCATCTGGTGATGGACACTTGGGTTGCTTCCACCTTTTGGCTATTGTGAATAATGCTGCTGTGAACATGGGTGGACAACAGTCTCTTTGAAATTCTGTTTTCAGTTCTTTTATATGTATGTCCAGATGTGGGATTGCTGGATCATATAGTGTTCCATTTTTAATTTTTTGAAGAACCTCTAGACTGCTTTCCATAGTGGTTGCATCAGCATACCTTCCCAGCAACAGTGCACAAGTGCCCTAGTTTCTCCACAGCCTTACTAGCTTTGAACTTTTTTGGTTATAGCCACCTGAAGGATATAAAGTGGATACACAGTTTCTTGGCACCTCTTTCTAAGTGTCCACTGTGTTCCTTTTTCTTGCGGCTGCCGGGGTCCCCACGTCCGGTCCTCCCTCTGGGTCTGTGTGAGTGCACTCTGGGAGCATGTGTGTTCCCTGTGACACCTCCATTGGGTGGAACTCACATGCTTCACGTTTGTACTTTCATCATCCAGGGGCACAACGGCTCCTTCACGCTGCAGTCATTTCAGAGTGAAGGTGTTCAAAACTCAGGCAAGTCCCCGTGGGTCAAGAGTGAAGGTCAAGCAGTGGTGAATACATTATTAATACCACAGTGGTGGGTGTTAGACTTGTTCTTTGAAGCAGTAAAACTGTTTATTTTTAAAGTGAAGTGACAGTCACTCAGTCGTGTCTGACTCTTTGCAACCCCATGGACTATGTAGTCTGTGGAATTCAAGAATACTGGAGTGGGTAGCCTATTCCTTCTCCAGCAGATCTTCCCAGCCCAGGTATCAAACCAGGGTCTCCTGCATTGCAGGCGAATTCTTTACCAACTGAGCTATCAGGGAAGCCCTGATTTTTTTTTTTAAATGCCACTTGAAGTCATATACGTGGCAAACAGAAACAAACCCAAGGTCCTAATGTATAGCACAGGGAGCTATATTCAATATCTGGTGATAAACCATAATTGAAAAGAATATGAAAAAGAACATATATAGGTATAATTGAATCATTTTGCTATACAGCAGAAATTAACACAATGTTGTAAATCAATCATGTCATTAGAATTTTTTTCAATTATTTAAAAAATGCCACCTAACACATTATGCAACATATGAAACCAGTGGAAGGAGCGCAGTTCTCTTCGGGATGTTTGGGACATCTGGCATGTCCCCGGCCGCTCTGGAGCAGGCCCCTCACCCTCCAAATACAAGCACAAGGTAAAGTCAGCATTGTAAACTCACAGGCAGCACAAGATGCATATATAACCCCAGACCTGGGTGCTGGAAGTGTCTCGGGCATTTAGGTCAACTTCTTACTTCCCGCAGGATACTCACCGTGACCATTCTGGCTGTCTGTCTTCCAAGTCCTGGGAATGCACAGGTAAGATTTTTATTTTGTTACTTGTCAGGAAGTATGTTAAAAAACAGGCTGAGGGTGTCCAGCCACACATTTTAAAATCCTAGGATCGTGTCGTTGACCTGAACCGAGCTCTTCACTGTACAGAGGTTAAGGCTGGGTCTCAGGGAAGCTGAGACTTGCCCCAGCTGGTGCAGTTTATAAGTGGCAGGGCTGGGACCTTGGTGTCCTGATTTGCCATCCAGGACTCTTATAATCAGATCATGCTGCCTCATTTGTGTTAGTTGGTGGTGGTGGGGGGTCTTGAGTTATTGTAAGTGCTAAAAAGTCAAGCATGTTCTAGAATTTCTGGGCATTGGTGCCTCTCGGTTCTCCCCGTGTTGCCCATGTGTGTGTATGTGTCCTTCCTGGAGGAGGTAGGCAGAGGAAGGGTGACTCAGCTCCCAGCCCGTGAAAACCCAGCTTGGCCCAGACCCTGGGAGGAGTGTGAAGCGGAATCTTAAGCTCCTCAGGGTCTATGTGGAGAAGCCTGCAGCATCCCTGCCTTTACAAAGTGATGTTTGTGTCAGCTCTTGAGAAATATGGGCAGATCCCTCCTGAGGAGCTCAGGGCAGCCTTTCTGCATCTCCAGCTCAGAAATGAGAGAAGCCCCACCTCTGAGCAGGGCTGAGGGGCCACGTAGTCAAGTGGAAATGCACATGCATGTGCATGAACATATAGAAGACATGACAAAATCACCAACACAGCCCCTCTGTTGGTTACAGCTGTGTACAACAGAGCCCTAAAATGGGACCAACCAAATTCTCACTGAGTAGACAGATGCTCTCCCAAACTTTCAGGGTCTAGGAAGGAGATCTTAGAATTTCAGTTCACATTTGTTTTGATCACACCCTTTAAATGTTTTTTTCCCTTCATATTAAGAATTTTGAAATAGATTTCATTGGTGGTGGAAAGAATCTTGAGAAAAGTAGCAAAGATTTAATTTTTTTAATGTTGGCCATTTTTTAAAAGTCTTTATTGGATTTGTTATAGTATTGTTTCTGTTTTATGTTTCATTTTTTTGGCCACAAGGCATATGGGATCTTGGCTCCCTGACCAGGAAATAAACCCACATCGCCTTCATTGGAAGGCAAAGCCCCAACCACTGGACCACCAGGGAAGTCCCACCAGACTTTTAGGCCTTGGAAAGGCCTTGGCATTCTCCAGTATAGCTCTGTGGTGACAGTTGACATCTACATTCAGAGAGGGCCATGTTTATAATATAGTGTTTATTGCACTATAGGCACTTTAGGCACATTAACAATTTAGTCCTTACAACCACTCAGATGTAAGTACTATCATCCCCATTTTACAGATGAGAAAACTGAGGCATAGAAAATTATGCAGTGAGTAGGGGCTGAAGTGAGACTTGGAAGCCAGTCAGTAGACTTGAACCCACACCTGCACTTACCAAATGAGGGTTGAGGCTTACCACATCTTCTGGTTTTCTGAACTTTATGGCACAGCCTCCTGGCTCATTCATTCCATTTTGTTTGCCCCAAGGCCCTAAGTCACCTGAACCCACTCCCAGGAATGCAGCTGAATCTATTATCTCCACATATCAACCCATAGCTCAGGGAAGTTTAACTCCCCTCAAACCATAGGGAAGGCCAGGGAAGAAGCCCTCATAGGCAAAACCACACCTCCTTGACTTATTCCTGTAACATGTCAGCTCTAGAGGGTGATTGTTGAGCCCATGAGATTTTTCTAAATGCATTAAGTTATAACTCAAGTTGTATGTGAAGCCTGCAACCCTCGGGGGCTGTTGAGACCTGGCTATCTTTGGAAGCATCTTTGTGTAATTGTCTTCCTGAGATTAAAATGAAAGAATTTTCCCAATTCTGTTTCTCTTAGAAAACTGACTACATCACTGTACAGATTTACTTTATACACACAGACCCTGTAATCGGGTACAAGATTTCAGAGGGGCCAAAGAACTCATGCTGGGCACTGGAAAGGAGTTAAATAACCTTCAAAGAAAGAGAGTAGTTGGCCTTAAGGCAATGATATTCTCTCCCAGGAAGGGGTGAGCACAGGGCAAGCCTCGCTGGGCACATCAGATGTGATTAGTATTGCTCTTCATAAATAGAGCAGGAAAAAGCCCCAATAACCATTTGCTAAAAATGGGCATTTTGAAACAATGACGCTGGAACTTAAAAAGTGATGCTAGGTGTAAAATGATTGTTAAAGAAAAATACCTAAAGGGGACAAAAAGGGGTTATAACAGATGTTGGTATTACAAATGCCTTGTTTCTTTACCCATTTTCTGTACTTTCTGTGATGCGGTTAGTTAGAATACTTCTATAGTGTTAAAAAAAAAAAGTACGTAAAATGACGTCTCCTCTTTCTGTTCCTTCTTGCAGCAACAATGCACTAATGGCTTTGACCTGGACCGCCCGTCAGGACAGTGTTTAGGTATGAGGCCCTGAAGGTCCCTTCGCTGGGTGGGCGTGTAGTCACAGCTCCATTGTAGGGCCATTTCTCTTCTAGCTGTTGTTCAGTATTGTCAAGTCTGTATCAGCCTTGCCCACAGAAATGGGCAAAAACAGTGCCACGGGATGGCTGAAATCAATGACACTCTTCCACTGGTCACCTTCTTTGTGCCCAGCACTGGGTAAGCCCTGAGACAGAGTGAAGATGAGGAAGAATTGAATGCCATCCTCAAGGAGCTCCCCATCTATATCAGTTTCCCAGGACTGCCTTTACAAATTGCCACAAACTTAGGGGCTTACACAATACAGCTATATGATCTTACAGATGTACAGGTCAAAAGCCTGATGGGGGATTCTACCAGGCTAACACTGAGGTGTTGGCAGGGCCTTGTTCCTTCCTGGAGGCTTGAGGGAAGAATCCGTTTTGTTGCTCATGCATGGTGCTGGCAGAGTTCAGTTTCTTTTTTCTTTCATTTTGCTTGCGATATAATTGACATACAACGGTGTCTAAGTTTAAGGTGTACAGTGTGCTGACTCGATACACTTATGTATTCCAATGTGATGACCATCATAGCTTAGAGCTCACACCTCCCTCCCATCACATTATTACCATTTCTTTTTTGTGGTGAGAACATTCAGGATTTATTTTCAGCAATTTTCGAGTATACAATATGGTATTGTTCATAATACTCACTGTGCATTAGTTCCTTAGAACTTATCTTCTAGCTGGAAGTTTGTACCATTTACATCTCCTTATTTCTCCCACCCCCAAGCCCCTGATGACAACCATTCCACTCTCTGTTTCTGTAAGTTTGGCTTTTCTGGACTCTACATGTAAGTGATATCTTGTAGCATTTGTCTTTCTCTGTTTGCCTCATTTTATGTAGCATAATGCCCTCAAGGTCCATCCATGTTGTTGCAAATCGCATCTTTTCCTTCTTCCTCATGACTGAATAATATTCATATGATTATTATCAATATTCTATTATTCATATGATGATAATATTAATTGATAATAATATCACATCTATCTATTATGAACTTTATCCATTGATATGCATTTTGGGTGTTTCCATAATTTGGCTATCCTGAATAAATGCTTCAATCAACATAGCAGTACAGATAACTCTTTAACATTCTATTTTCATTTCCTTTGGCTATATACCCAAAATTGGAATTGCTGGATTGTATGGTATTTCTAGTTCTAAGTTTTGGAGGGACCTCCACACTGTATTCCACAGTGGCTGCACTGATTTACATTCCACAGAATTCAGTTTCTTGCGGTTGGAGGACTGATGGCCCTGTTTCCTTGCTGGCTGTTAACTGAAGGCCTTTCTCAGTTTCTAGAGGCCACCTTCTTCCTTGGCCTCTTCCGTGGTCTTCCCCCTGCAGAGCCAACAAGTTAAGTCCCTCACATGTTTCTAATCACATCTTTTTCTGTTGCCTCATCTCGCTGACCAATCCTTCTGCCTCTTCTTCCACTTTTAAGGATTTGTATGATTTCCTTGGGCCCACCCAGATAATCCCAGATAATCCTCTCATCTCAAGGTCTTCTGATTAGCTCTAAATCCATTCTGTGAGTACATGCATGCTCAGTCACTCAGTTGTGTCTCACTTCTTGGAATTGCAGTTCTGTGGACTATAGCCCTCCAGGCTCCTCTATCCATGGAATTTTCCAGGCAAGAATATGGAGTGGATTGCCATTTCCTCCTTCAGCGGATCCTTACAACTCAGGGATTGAACCCACATCTTCTGCATCTCCTGCATTAACAGGCAGATTCTTTTACCATTGAGCCACCTGGGAAACCCTTAAATTCACTCCATCCATGCCTAATTCCTCAGGTTCCAAGTGAGTGAGTGAAAGTCGCTCAGTTGTGTCTGACTCTTTGCAACCCCATGGACTATACAGCCCATGGAATTCTCTAGACCAGAATACTGGAGTGGGTAGCTTTTCCCTTTTCCAGGTTATCTTCCCAACCGAGATCAAACCCAGGTCTCCCGCATTGCAGACAGATTTTTCTTTTTCTTTACTATTTCTTCTTTTTTTTTTTTCAGTTATTTTTATTAGTTGTAGGCTAATTACTTTACAATATTGTAGTGGTTTTTGCAGGCAGATTCTTGACCAGCTGAGCCACAGGGAAGCAGGTTCCAAGCAGGAGGACAATTTAGGGCTCTTTTCCTAGCGCGCCATCTAGTGGGGGTGGTAGACCTAGGCGGAGTGAAGTGAACAGAGAGGAATAGTCATTGCCAGGATGAGGTGATCTCCCCTACAAAGTAGGGGAGAGAGTGATGCCTTCTGTCTGAGGTCAATAAAGAAAGCCTTCGTGGAGGTCACATTTGAGTCGGGTGTTGAAGGATGAATAAGATCCTGAGAAATGGCATCCTAAGTGGTCGGAACAGCATCAGCAAAGATCAGGGAGACAGAGTATAGAATAGTGTGCTGTGGACGAAGCATAGAGTATAGAAAAAGAATACGGCTCCCACCTTGGGAGTATATTTACTTTTTAAATTGTATTTGATTTAGGCCAAATCATTTGTAATCTCTGAGCTTAGGGTTGAAAACAATGACAGTTGGTGAGGAACAAAACCATGACTTGGAAGCTCTAGGCTCCCACTTTGACTTAAGGTGAAGGGGCATGAGGATGCCCCAATGGATGCAAAGAAGGTGACAGCTGTCTTCCCTGGCCCCCCAGTTTTAATGATGACGTCAGGCTTACAGCTAGATAATGGAGCTCCACGCTTCCCTTTCCTGGCGGCGGAGTTGGCACGAGTCTCTCAGAGGAGGTGGCAGGGGTGAGCTGTTAGGAATCAGGGCTCTCCCCTGCCCCCCACGGGTCCCACGGAGAACAGACCCCCCAAGGTTGGTGAGAAGCCCCAGTGTGTGGGGTCAGGTCAGCCGCTCCTGCTGGCAGCCCAGTCCAGGCCTCCTCTGTCCCTGGCCCAGCGAGGCTGATTTTCTAGAGAACCCACCCCCACTCCCAAACCCCACCCCCAACTCTAGACACAACAGAGCACCAGCCTGGCTGGAAATGGGCCCTGTTTGTTGGCACCGTGTGAGCTGACTCTCAAGTAAGTCTCCACTTTCCTAACAAGTAACTCACTCTTGGCCAAGCCTTGTCTTTCCGGACGCAAGGGACTCATTCTCCCTGCCCAGCTGTTATTTGGAGTAGAATTGAGTACAATGATGAGGTCCATCCCAGTGTTTCCTGAGTGTCGTATGGACACACAAGAGTACCTGAGATGCTTTTGGGTGATATATCCACAGATAAACACTCTTTATTTTAATAGTTTTACGTATTATTCTTACTCTTACCTTCTATTTTTCATAATTGACAGTGTTTTTTTCATTTGCTGTCATCATGTAAGATGAAAAAAAGATGCTTACTTGGGTTTCCAGGGTGGATTCGTTTAGAGAAAAGTGTCAAGCATATGGGGCTTCCCTGATGACTCAGTCAGTAAGGAATCTGCCTGCAATGCAGGAGACGCAGGAGATGTGGGTTCGATCCCTGGGTTGGGAAGAGCCCCTGGAGGAGGAAATGGCAACCCACTCTGGTATTCTTGCATGGGACATCCCAAGGATGGAGGAGCCTGGTGGTTTACAATCCATGTGGTTGCAAAGAGTTGGACAGGACTGAACATGAGATGGATTGGTTAATTGGATCGGTTAATTGGATCAAGCATGTGACAGTACAGGCTGTGGTAGCTACAGCCCAGACATCGTGAAGGGGGTATTTGATGGCCTGTCAATTTGATTTAATTCGGCTAATATTTGGGTAGTACCTGATGGTGATGAGCCAGGCGCTGCCCCACATATTTGGGAGCAGATGCTGGTAAATCATGGTTGGGGTCCTTCCTGGCGCTGTCAGTACAGAGCTCTGCTTCAGTTTGCACCATGTGGCCGAGGGGCTGCTGACACCTGTGTCCTTTCTGTGGCCTTGCAGATGTTGATGAGTGCCGGACCATCCCTGAGGCCTGCCGAGGAGACATGATGTGTGTCAACCAAAACGGCGGGTATTTGTGCATCCCCCGAACGAACCCCGTGTACCGAGGGCCCTACTCCAACCCCTACTCGAACCCCTACTCAGGTTCTTACCCAGCAGCTGCACCCCCGCTGTCAGCTCCGAACTACCCCACCATCTCCAGGCCTCTCATATGCCGCTTTGGATACCAGATGGATGAAAGCAACCAGTGTGTGGGTGAGTAGCCCAGCGTCTCAGGCTTCCTCTACACTGGCAAAGCCACGTTCCTGTCCAGCAGGTCCAGCCCAAGGTCGTCTCCAGAAAGCCACTTTGTCTTTGCTTATTTTCATCTATGTATTCACCTATCTATCTTATCTATCATCTATGTATTTATTATCTACCTACCTATCTATCTTTCAATTGTATCTATCATCTATCTATTTGAAGACCAAGCTCATGTTTTTTCTCTGTTCAATAACAAATATATTGTCAAACATACTAAGTGAATCAGAGAGAGGATCTAAAGATCTAAAAAGAACCAGCTTTCTAGAGCCTTCAGCATCACACACCCTTGAATGGAATGTTTGCTCCTGAAAGAAAAGAAGCCTTGAGGGACAAGGCCAGTTGTTCTGGAAAGAAAGTGTGTTCCTTGGGTGGGGACCAGTCTTTTGACCAAGCAGAACCTTGCAGATGGGAACTCATAGCGTGAGTGGACCTCAGGGAAGAAGGAGATGCCATATACCATGAGGTCCCCAGGCTGTTGGCAAGTGTTGTGATGGTGCCTGGGGGAGTGCTGAAGCTCTGTGGGCCAGTGTGGCTTTCGTGGAGGGTTACCCAGTATCCTCCCTCATCGCTTTGGCTTTGGTTGGACCAAAACTTTGCAACTGTTCCCAGCATTGGAAGGTGGGTCTGGAGTGATGATCACTCCAAAGTTTTTTGATCATATGCTCCATCTGCAAAATCCTTCTGAACCTGGACCCTTATTACATGCATGCTTATAAATTATATACATATCCCGTTAGTCTCATATGGTTTGAGGAGTGTAAAGCATATGTGAGACGTAGAAAATTTTAAAGGATGTGATCAAAATAAAACATGAATTGAAATTCTAATATTTCTTTCCGTGCCCTGAGTTTGCGAGACCATCAGGGTACTTAATAAGACTGATGTTGGTCCCATTCCAGGGCTCTGAAGGTGGCATTGTAGCCCACTGCTGGGGAGGTTGTGTTGGTCATTTTGTCATGTCTTCTATATGACCGTGCAAATGAGTGTGCATTTTCATTTGACTACATGGAAATAATATGCAAACAAAGTGAACAAAGTGTCTTTCAGAGCAAAAGGGAAAATTGGATATGCCTTGTCTAAACTTCTCTGTTCTTACTGATCTCAAGAGGTGTGTGTGTGTGTGAGAGAGAAAGGGGGGGGGGGACAGGAGCTGACTGATGGTCACGTTGAATATAGATGAGTGTTCAAGGAAAAAGAATACAGGGCCCAATCAAGTCACAGGACTGAAGTGCTGGTGGGGTAGAGAGTAATGTACTTCCTTATGGCCCCTAGGACAATAGACCATTGTAACAGGAAGGGACTTCAACAATCTTTAACCACAGGCTCTTCATTCTATAAAAAAGGGGATGTGGACTCCACCAAGAGAGGTAATTACAGAGGTGGGATGGGGGTCCTGCTCTCCTGACAGCCAGCCTACATTTTCCTCACTTGCCCACGTGACTGCTCTCATTTGGTAGAAAAGGAATGATCTGGAAGAAAAGGCAGAGAAAGAGAGTTGGGGGGTGGTGGTGGGGAGCTGCTCTTCACGATATCCTGTGGGGCTGGAGAAGCCGAGCGACCATATGCACATCTTGAAGTAAGGTAGGGGTTGTCAGGACCCTGCGAGTCGCTCCAGGATTTCGGGGTGCGGGGGCGGGTCTCGGGTGGCCATGGGGTGGTCCCGAAGACTCCTTCTGGGGAACAGCTGGGAACTCCAATGCGACCCCTCCCCTCACAGCCCTCTTCCCAGGATCCCAGCGCTGGAGAATAAGCACGGGGCTGGGAACCCTATTCATCTCCTGGTCCCTGTGACGTCAGGCACTTTTACGGCCTCCAACCTGTCTCACGGGAGATGCGGAGCCTCATAATGGCGCTTTTGTAAGGAGAATACAATCCCGGAACCCTGGCGAGGGCTGGCACCGGGCCAGTCCACTTCCAAAAAGTTCAGCCTTCTGTATTCATAAGCCCCGGGTTCCTCCCCGCCTCCCTTCACCCCACCCCGCCTTTCCTGGTTTACACTGGTTCTTCTGGGCATTGTGAGAGCAGACGTCAGAGGGAGGAGGCCCGGGGAGGGATGGAGTGGGGATGAGAGAGGCGGGGCCTGGGAACAGGCCCGGGGAAGCAAGGCTGGGGGGTGGGTGCGGGGGAGGAAACGAAGGAACCCAGGGGGCGTATTATTGGGAAAAGAGGAGGTGAGGGGGTGAACGTAGTTCTGATCCTGTGGAGGAAGCTAGAGTGAGTGGCATATGATGTGGAGAATTGGAAAGTGTTTCTGAAACTTGGGTTTTCTTTTTTTTTTTTTAATGTATTTATTTATTTGGCTTAGTGGGGTCTTAATTGCAGCAAGCATGAACTTTTAGTTGTGGCATGCAAACTCTTAGTTGCAGCATGTGGCATCTAGTTCCTTGACCAGGAATGGAACTTGGTCCCCCTACCTTGGGAGCAGAGTCTTAGCCACTGGACCACCAACGAATCCACCCCCCCCCTTTTTTTTTCCAAAGCTTTTATATTGGATTGTAGTTGATTAACCATGTCGTGATAGTTTCAGGCGTACAGCAGAGTGATTTTGTTATATATATGCATGTATCTGTTCTTTTCAAACTTGGATGTTGTGGGAGAGGAGGACCACTTCTCTAAGGGGCCATCTCCTCCCCCTTCTCAACACAGAAGATGCTCAACAACAGTAACAACAGCAGCAGTAGTAATAATAGCAAGCACATGATGCTGTGTGCTAGGATCCTTACCTGAATGAACATGTTGAATCTAAACCACAACCCCATACAGCAGGACTGTTGTTATTCTCGTTGGCCCTGAAGCACAGGGAGGTTAAGAATCCGTCTAAGGTCACACAGCAAGTAGGGGCTGACCCAGGGTTTGGACCCATTCAGGCTCTGGATGAAGAAACTGAGGCTGAACAAGGTCAAGGTTCAGGCCTCACAGGAGTCAGTCCTGGAACCCTGATGAAAAACTAGGGCTTTCTCTTGCTTTTTTTTTTTTTTTGGTAAATAAATTTTTGTTCTGTAAAACTTTGAACCTAGACAGAAGCAGAGAAAATGTAGTGAACAATTACCTACTTGTCACCCGGTTTGGTAATTGTCAATATAGACCCACTCTTGTTTCTTCTTTACCCTGACCCAGTGGATCAATTTAAAGCAAATATCAGGTATCAAATCATTCTGTCCTTAAATACTTCAGAATGTATCTATCTCTAAGAGATAACGCTTCTTTAAAAAATAATAGCCACAATACCATTATCAAACCTACAAAACTTAACAATAATTTCTTTTATCATTTAATATCAGATAATTCATATTTCTGTGATTCTTTCATAAATGTCCTTTTTTCCTTTTTTTTTTTTTTAGAATCAGATCCAAGTAAGGTCTACAAATTGCATTTGATTAACAAGTCTCTTAATGGCTTCTTAATCTTTTTTGTCTCTTTCGCACTTATTTGTTGAAGAGGCTGAGTTGTCTGTCCTATAGAATTTCCTACATTTGAGATCTTGCTTGTTGTGTTCTTGGAGTGGTATTTAACATATTTCTTCATCCTATCTATTTTTCTGTAAACTGGTAATAGTTAGACCTAGAGACTTGATCCAGTTTAAGTTTAAATTTTGGGCCAGTTATTTTCTAGGCAGTGTCCTTGCTCTTTTCTTCTTTCCATGTCCAGGTTTCTGCACACAAACTGTAAGTCCAGCTTAAAGAAGCAAGTGGACACTTTCACTGAGGTTTGCTCTTTCTGGGTTTTGGACCCACTTCCAAGACAGCAGTTTCCTTCCTTGTCTTCTGTCTCTGGAGGCTGGGCAGGGCCAGACTTGGAGCCCAGGTCCCCTGAGCCTCTGAGCTTCTTTCTTGACCGCTCTGTTTGCAGTTCTACTTGGGAGATCCCTAGACCCTGCTCTTTCTGGAACAAAGTTTGGCCTCAGATTTGAATCCAGCAAGCCCCTCGATGTAAACCTGGATCACTCAGGACCTTTGCAGGCTGAGTGAACAGTGACAGAATTACTGCCCGTGAACCAAGGAAGTTTCGTGTCATCAAGAAAACCGGCACCTTGGCTGGGGGAGGTTCAGCACCAGGGCAACCTCTGTGAGGGCAGTGGGACCCGTGGCTGGTTAGAGTGTGTCCCTTGCATCCTGGCCCCTTGGGAGAGCTGATGGTCAGCATCTCAGAGACTGGAGAACCAGATGGACTTGGTTAATTGGCAAGGAGGAAGGAACTGGTGCATGAAAGGCAGGATGCTGTGGGGCTAACAGGGTTGATGCTGAGGACTCAGGCAAGAGTGAGCTAAGCTGAGTGGTTGGGGCACCCAGAATATGAACACCTACTAAGGAACCTTTCTACCATCTTGCTGCCTCTGAGAACAGGACTTTTGGCTAAGGTCCCTCATGTTGATGCCACTCTTTTAGGCGTGTCTTTCCTTTGTGGCTTAACTTGTCACCTCTCTGGGTGGACATTCTTCATTCTGGCTTTGCTAATCAACTTGGCTCTGTGGCCAAACTAGGGACTCGACAAATAACTAATGCTCGTGAGACGTTTCGCAATTGAGAAAGCAGCCTTTCACTAGAGCCACATTGCCCCAGGGACTACAGGAATTCCTCTGGTCATTTGTGAAGTTACAAGCAATATCTTTATTCTCCCTTCTGGCCCAGGGTTTTCTCATTGATCAAAGCGCCTGAGCAGGCAGAGAGGAACACATATGGATCCTTTTGGAAGATGAATGGCATTGGCCTGAAGCTTTCTCTTGAGTTATTTTTCCTGAAAGTCAGCCAACATGTAGTCAATCCCTGTTTATAGAGCACCTCTTTGGTGCCAGGCTCTGGCTTAGGCGCTGAGGGGGGCAGGGAGTCTGGGCACAGCCATGGGACTGTCTTCAGAGCTTACCGTCAAGGAAGGGAGATTAGTCACAGAACAAGCAGCTGAAAGACTTGGCAGCCTCTGATAGGTTCCTGAGATTTTTCGAAGAGAAGGCAGAG